AAGTATTGATTGATGTCCCGTGTAGCTTGCTGGAGAACACTGCCACTGGTGTATTGGTTGTAGTAGATCTGACCATTTCCTCTGTTGTCTAAATCTGTCCAGAATGGAGCGATGATGTCTCTGATACGTTGTGGGAACCTCTGACTTGTAAAGTCCCTTAGTGGACCAGTAAATGTTAGGTGTCCATTATGATTGACCTGAAAAAAATAGAAAAGAAAAATATTTCCTGTCACAACATCTAAATAAACAGATTTGGATTTTGTTTTGCAAACCACATTTTATATTGTAATTAGTGGCAGTAAGTTTAATTAGACAGCAAAATATTTTTATGGTACAAATGTAGTAAATTAATTGTTAATGTTAATTTTACATACATAAATGCTGTTATATGTCCTCCCAAAATAGAAAAAAGGTCTTAGCAGGGTAATCTTTGGAGAACTTCCATCATCTACCGCAGAGCTTACAGTTCCAGATGTTGGGTAAAGAGGTCCTAAGAAGCAATTAGGTAGATCATGAAAAAAGATAGAAAAGGCCTGTATGGTTAATATTCTACAAACATAAATATAAAACATATTTCTCACAGGCTTTCAGTCTTTACTCCTCTGTGAAATGTGAGGCTGATATAAATTGAGGATAAAGCAATAAAAGTCAAATCTTTAGGGTTTTGAAAAGATACTTACTGACAGCCTGAGCAGTCACTACACCTGTACATGAAACAAAACACGGATAAATAAAATTATGACAAGTTTTTTAAGATTGGAAGATTTTATTTCTGATCCGAAAAATTCGAGTCATCCCTTAGGCAAAAATAAACACACCATAAAATGGATTAAAGGAACATAAATACAATTACTAACCTGTCATTCCCAAAAGCAGCACAAAAAACCTGATTTGACCCACCATTCTGTCAAATCAGATCTCTTCATTAAAAAGGGAAAATAATTTTTTTGTTTAATTTATAACCTAAGTGCAGAGCTAAATTCAGATGAATCTGTTGAATCTTGATGTAATATTAGTTGTGAGTCTCTCACGCTCATTTGAGACTGCAGGGGACACACAAGGCTTTATATAGTTGGGGATATTTACCTAGGAAATGTAATCAAATACTCCATCAAAGGATATTCAGAGAAGAATGATGCCAGTTACCGTCACCATGGTTAATAGTCAAGCAGTAACTTTAACAACCATAGATACAGATCTCAGACAAAGGGTTTACTGCTGACACAGTAAATCATTCTCAA